TTTTTGGGGGGGGGGGCGCGGGCAGTTGGGAGTTAGGGCGGGGCCGTGGGTGTGGCGGCAACGCTCGGACGGCCGGTGGGACGGCTGGCCAGCTGGTTGGTTGGGGTTCAGGTGGTCGTGTGGGAGTGGGCGGCGCGCGCAGCATGGGAACACGCGGCACTCCTTGACCTGGGGGTGCCCCTCGACGGAGCGCTGAGTGGCCGCTGACGGCCCCAACGCCTGCCCGGTCCCCACACCCCGGCCCCCACCCGGCCCCAAATCCTCAAACCCCGACCAAAGCCTGCACATCTGTCCCCGAACCACCCTGCCTCACGTTGTTCGCGAGCGCCAGATCATACATCTCCTGGATCAACTCCTTATTGGTGCCGACGCGGCTGAGGATGCGGCTGCCGGGATCGCTCGCATCCAAGTCCCTGTGGTACCCGCCACCGCCACCACCCGCACTCGTCGCCGCGGCCGCATTCGCCGCCCCTCCGCCGCCGCCGCCGCCGCCCGCCGATGCGCCCCCGTCGCTGTCAGCGCATGGCGGGAGCAGCGGCTGGCCGGGCAGCAGCGCGGCGACGCGGCCGCGGATGGCGCAGCCGGGCGGCCCGAGTGGGTAGCCCTCGGGCGGCGCGGCGCGGACGGCGGTGCGCAGCAGGTCGTGGCGCTTCTGAGGGCGTGTGGGAGGGTGGGGAGTGGGGGCATCGGAATTGTGAATTTTAGGGGCTTTGCAGCTGATCAATGGCGGTTCCGGAAAGGTGTGAATCAACCAGAGCTGGGTCAAGCGGCACTGCAAATTGGCAAAGAAAAACATTCAGCAGAAGACCAATGATCGTGAGGAGGATGGCTACTCTGTTCGGGCAGTGGGAGGTAGCATGCAGAGGGCCAACGAGCGGGCGCAGCCCGCTGCCATTGGAGGCTGCGGCGCGGCCGGCGCCCCCCAGGCACACATCCCCTCGCCCTCCGGGGCCCAGGCCGCCGCAACCCACGTGCAGCGGCTCGTGCGTGACGCTGCCCGCGCCGGTCTGGTACAGCACGTCAAACGCCACGAAAACGATCTGGGGGGAGGGGGAGGGGGCCGGGCGCCGGCCGGGGGTGGATATTAGCGGCGCTCAGTGGAGGGATGGCGGACAGGGCCAGTGCCATGGGAAGCAGGGAGGGGGCCGAGCCCAGGCAAAGCGGCCGCCGCAGCAAGGGCGCTGCGCCCTGCCAAGATCGATCAGGCACGCGAGGCGCCCTCCCATGCCCGCTCAACCCCTTGTACCCTGCTGCACGACCCCGTCCGGCGCCGCGGCGGGGTTGACCGGCGCCAGGTGCAGCATTGACCCCCCGCAACCCCCGCGCGCACACCTCCACGTCCTCCGCGTTTGGGCAGTCCCAGGAGGGGTCCCCGCCGCCCATCCGCGAGTCGGTCTCGATGCGCGCGCCCCCCTTGGCGCCGTTGCGCGCCGCGTTGACCACGGCCTTGAGGCTGCCGAACGGCTCAAACTGGCAGCGCCGCTTGTTCCACACGATCATCTCGCCGTCCAGGATTATATCGGGAGGGATAACCTGGATACACGTATGTTCACATGGGAGAGGGCGCCGAAATGGAAAAGATGCGGGGCGGTGAGAAATCATGCGTTTTATGGCCGTCCTCCTCCCATTCGCGCCGTGCTCATCCGCATCGCTGCCCGTTCCC